GTGAGGTAGGGCGGAGAATGAGCTCTCTGGAGGGGAGAGCCGAGGAACTGAGGGGTCAGAGTTTTGGAAAGACCGTCTACATGGAGAGACATCCCCAGTGATTATAATATCGAATGATGGTGAGGCAGAGCTGAAATCTGTAGGGAGTGACCCCAGGGGTCCGGAAGTGACTGCAGGCAGGAGAGGGGGTGGTTCACAGCATGGACGTTCAAGGTGAGGAGGGTTGGGTGAACACCGCCTCCACCGCCGGGCCAGCAGTCCAAGAGCTGTGGCTGAGAAAAGAGGTCACAGAAGCAGCAGCACGATCCCCAGGGAGAACCTTTCTTGTGAACAAGTTGGGGGGCAGAATACCTGAGAAACGCTTGTGGGGAATATGGAGATTTGCTGGTGGCTGTGATGTCCAAGGGGCCTAGTGGAAGAGACTGCAGAACCTGGGTAGAAGCAGGAGAGTGTAAGGGACGAAGTCACAGGGGCGCCTGGGTGTCTCAGTCGGTGAAGCGTCCGACTTCGGCTCAGGTCACGATCTCACGGTTCATGGGTTCGAGCCCCGCGTGTGTCCTTCAGATCCTGTGTCCCGCTTTCTCTGCCCCTCCCTCACTCATGCTCTTGCTCTCTCTGTCTCTCAAAAGTAAATAAAAACATTAAAAAGAGGGAGAGAGAGATGAGGTCATAGACTAACATGTACTAACCTGACCGGATGAGAGTCTAGGAAGTGACATGCTCAGGAGCCCATCTGTGGTCACGGAGATAAGCCTAAGGACAGAAGGATAAAAGGCTTGATAGTCTCGAGGCGTGGGGGTGTTGAGGTCACACATATTGGTAAGGGTTCTTACTAGGAACCCGCAGAGTTCTGGGGCCCCCCCTTCAGGCTCCGTCCTCACTGCTGCCAGGAGAAGCACAAAGAAAAGGGCTCACGTGGAGCGTCCCTTGTCGATTCGTGGGGCACGACGTAGAGGTTACTAATCTTCATGACCCGGGTACCGTGCACTGATTGGCTCGGGGCTGCTGTATTGTTTATCCCCACGTAACAAATTACCTCAAAACTTAGGGCTTCAAGTAGCATTTGTTGTCTGGCATTTTCCCCTGGATGAGGACTCCAGGCAGGCACAATTTGTTGAGTCCCTCGTCTCAGGGTCTCTCCAAGGCTGCGATTAAGGTATTAGCAGCCGCTCAAATCCTTTTGAGGCTCAGTTGGGGGTTGGTCCCCTTCCAAGTTCACTCAAGTAGTTGTTGGCAGGACTTAGGTCCTCACTAACTTTGGCCAGAGGCCCTCTAGGTTCCCTGACACATTTGCCTCTCTATAGGGCAGCTCCTACATGACAGGTAGCTTCATCAGCAAGAGAGAGAGAGAGAGAGAGAGTTTGCAAGACAGAAGCAGGGGAGGGGGTCACACAAGGGTATGAGGACCAGGAAGCAGGACTCATTGCAGTGCCAGAAAGTTGCCCATCCCCAAACTAACCACAGATAACAAAGAGATTGAAACTGGCTTGGACCAGTCAGGTTCTACCCCCCCTTTCCCCCCCCGCTGGAGCTAGAGTCAGGTCCTCGAATCACAAGGCCACACAGAGTAGCAGGGAAGGGCAGAGGATAGAGTAAATATTGGCAGGACACCTGCCACGGTCACCATAACCACCATGTCCATGCTTTTCTTCTTCGGGCTCTGGACCCGCTTTCTTTAGCAGAGGGCCAGCTACTCTTGCCCTCGAGATCGAATCCAGACTCCTTACTGCAGCACGCAGTGGCCTTCGCACTCTGGCCCCAGTTTATCTTTCCGGCTTCATCTCTCACCATTTACTCTCATTTCTTCAAAGCCAGGGGTTCGCCAGACTTTTTGGTCTCAGGACCCCCTTAATACTCTTGGAAGCAATTGAGGGCCCCAAGAGTTTTTGTTACAACCATGGATATTTATTGAATCAGGAATAAAAACAAATTTTAAAATGTGAATTTAAAAAATTTATTCATTATAAAAAATACTCATTATTTAACATAAATAACACATTTTTATGAAAAAGAACATGTTTCAGAAAGTGTTTTGTTTTGAGAAAAATGACATCATTTTACATTTTCTTTTTTAGTTTTTATTTAATTTTTAGTACTCTCTATACCCATGGGGCTCAAACTCATGGCCCTGAGATCAAGAGTTGCACACTCTACCGAGTGTGCCCCCCACGTTGTTTTACATTTTTAAAAATTTCTTTGTTTGGCTTAATAGAAAGGGCTCTTACATCTGTCTCTGTACTCAGTCTCTTGCAATATGTTGTTTTAGTTGAGGTATATGAAGGAGCTGTGGCCTCACACAGACATGTAGTTGAAAGTGGAGATACGAGTGAGTATCTTAATAGTTTCTCCAGACCATTGCGAATATTCTTTGGTATTAGACCAGCTCTGTAAGTGGTAGTTTCTTAAAGGTTAGTTGCAGTGTGGAATCTGAACTTTTCTGTATTCTATTAGTTTAAAATCCATTGGACAGTCTGGCACTTTGAATGACTTTTACCCATTTGGAAAATGCTGGTTTCCTGCATTATTTGGGTCTTCCAAATATTTCATCATGAAGTATTTTTAATCACATTTTTTAATATTTATTAATTTTGAGAGAGAGAGTGAGCGTGTGCACGGACTGGGGAGGGGCAGAGAGGGAGGGAGAGAGAGAGATTCCCAAGCGGTCTCCACACTGTCATCTCAGAGCCCTACTCAGGGCTCGAACTCACAGCCCATGAGATCATGACCTGAGCCGAAATCAAGAGTCAGATGCTCAACTGACTAAGCTACCCAGGCGCCCACAATCACGTTTTTAAGTATCAAGTATATCTTGTCAGAAAAACCTTCACTGGGAAATTTTGATCATGGAGGATGTAAGTTTTCCAGAATTCTAAGTTTCACTTGAAAGTTTGAATGTTATTGTTGGCAACAAATACTGCCACTTGTCTTCCTTGACGTAATAGGCTCATTTCATTTATTTCTGACAGAGTGTCTGAATAACCATAGTTTATCTGCCATCATTTTTTCAAGTGAAAATGGTGCTCCAGGGAAAGATCCTATGACTTATTCTGTCTCCTAACTTCTGCTGTGTCTGGGCTGTCCTTCAGCGTTGCCTCCACCCTGCAGCCTCTTAATGTGCCTCGAATTCAGATGCCTCAAGAGAGAATCTGATTGGAGTAGTCAGCCATTGTCTGCTGAGGGTGGCTTGGCACAGAGCACGGCAGCCAGCACATAAGGAACCACTTCCGGCTGCTTCCCCAGAGGAGACTTCCTGTCTAGTCAACACCCCGAGCTCCATGCCCAGAACGTATACCATTATGATTAGCAAGATTTTTTTTTTTTTTTTTGAGAGAGAGAGCGAGAGAGTGAGCGTGCACAAGTGGGGAGGGGTGGGTAATGGGGAGAGGGAGAGAGAGAATCTTAAGCAGGCTCCATGCCCAGCACAGAGCCAGACATGGGGCTTGATCCTAGGACCCTGAGATCATGAACTGAGCTGGAATCAAGAATTGGACACTTAAGCCCACTGAGCCACCACCCAGGCGCTCTAGCAAGATACTTTTTTGATGCACAGATGCAAATAGAGTGATTATGGTATGAGAAATTTTTAAACATGGATTCATAATTTGCTTTTAAGCACTTATTTGACAGCTCCTTGTTTAAAGACCAAAAAATTCCCCAGGTCCTTAAAGTTGTGGTTATATTCCGGTACCACTGCTACTTTGTTTCGGGCATGAATTCTATTCTGATGCTGCTGTGGGACCATCTGTTCCAAAAATGTTTTTCAATGTGGATTGAGTAGTTGTTACTATGAATTTTCTACCAATGTAAACATAGATTTTATTGCTTTTCACATTGACATTAATAAAAAAGACACTGTTAAATAAATGTCTTCGGTTAACAATTTTTCATTGCTTAAAATGGGTGTCTTCCTCCTTCACAAAGGAGGAAAATCCTCCAAAGGCTATAAGTATAATGTATCTAGTATTTTTGTCAATAAATAATTAGGAGTCACCAGTCCCTGTATTTTGCAAGTTCACAGATTTTAAGTAGACTTTTACTATTTTCTTAAAGTTGGCTGTCTCCTTCTGGTAGGAGCAGAGCAGGCCAAGGGAACTAATGTCTGGGATCTTGAGGGTTAGTACCTTTTCCTCTTTACTGATACGCGGTATAACGAACACATAGATTTCGGCTGTATACTTGAGAACATACCCATGAGTGAGCGCACTCCTTGCTCACAAGCAAGTTTGTTCACTCAGTGAAGGAAAAAGAATGGAAGCAAGGTGTTTTAGGAAAAATAGTGGGGCCTGAGTTCCCTCTTTCGTTCATCCCTTGAGAGCATTACGAGGGGGTTAATGTATTTGGGTTAATGATGAAGAAAACAAAAATAGCCTCCCTATGAGGAAATGTAACCTGACACAATTTAAACTAGGACCCAGATTGAAACATCATTCTTTTAGGAAGTGGAAATATTTTGTCACACAGATGTGCCATCTAAATTTTAAAAGAAATCTCGACTTCCTTTCTCTTCATACGTCTTGATTTTGTTAACACTCGTTATTTCTTCCAGCCGCGTGTCCCAAGTAATTAAGTTATAATACATGATAATTTGCATACATTCCAAATGCTTATTACCTTTCTAACACTACAGTCCTCACAAAGATGGGTTATCTCAATTTCTTCATGGACTTTACCCCAGCAATACACATTGTCCTGAGTTGTATAGAGTGCACACCACTCTGGGCCCTGCCAAACAGTAGACAACGTGTGTTGTTCCCTTTTTTTTTTTTTTTTTTTTTTAGCGGGGCACTAAACATGCCCCAGTGCTTCCTCCAGGTTATCGAACTGACAGGTAGTAGGAAGCAAAGCCTCACGGGCTATTCTTGCTAAGTATTATTTCCACTGCAGTACAGATTAAAATCTCAGAAAATCCCAGCTATATACTTTATAGGTATGGATCGCTTTTATTGTTCATATCCTAAGTCATCTAAAGGCTTGTTTTCTTTCTTTTTTTTTTTTTACAGACCTAACTACCATAACGAATGCTGCATATTAAGAGAAACCACAAGAAGGTTATACATTTGGTTGTCTAATAATCTTGGATTTGATATGAACCAACACATACTCCTTGTTGTCATTGACAGAACCCCAGTTTGTATGTACATTATTCACACTCCTCTCTGTTGTGTTTGGGGGAAAAAAAGACATTTTAGCCTTTTTTAAGGTTATTTAATTTCATGTTATTTGGTTGCATGAAGTTGCCCTTAACCACTAAGGATTATCAAGATTTTTGCACAAACTTCTACATGTCTAGGATCCTTTTATCAAGGTGGCTGTGTTCACCATTCTCCTGCCTTGACTCCACTATCACCAGAGGCTCAGTTAAAGATAAATTAGCATTTTCTTAAAACGACCACTCCACATAATGCTTAAGGGATTTCTTCTCTGTGACAGAACCCAGGAACCGGTTCCTAAACACATAACGTTGGCATATTGAAGATAAAATTGAAATTGTCCTTCAGTTTTGAGGCCATGTGTAAAGTTTAACCATATTGTAAAATATCTATTCCGTATTAGAAATAGCTAGTCAACAGCTTATACTTCTCAAAACTCATACTGTTATGTACACAAACTCAGTTTTTATATGTGAAGTTAGTGAGTCCTTTTGTGTTATTCCAAAATAAAGGCAAGGATTTATTTTTTCCCAATGCCAATACAATTTGAGCTAATCACTCAAGGGTGGATACTTTACATTTTAAAGCTGGAATCAGCAGTAGCCCTATGGGAAACCAGACAAAGCATTGACTTTTAAATGAACCATTGTTTTCTTTTGGAGCTAGAGTTAGAATAGTTGATACTCATCCACAAACCATTATTACGTGTACATTATTGTTGCTATTGTGATAATAGAGAATTTTATTTATTTTTCTGCCAGCTTATATTGTGAGGGCTCATTTGGTCAGTTTGGGTTTCACCAATCCTGTTATGCTTGTCCTTGGACCATCTTTCGCGTATTCGAGGTTTGTAGTTGAAAAGTTTACTGTAAAAAAAAAAAATCAAAAACAAAAAAATGTATTGTTTTTACAGAATAAATTTATTGGAATGTGTACTGGGAGTAAGATTTGAGGTTGTAAACAACTACGTTAGTGTAATTTGGCTTTATATATGTAATGTGAGGTATTAATGTAATTCGTATATTAAAGCAAAAATTGTTAACAGCAAGTTGACAAGAGAATCAAGTGCAGGTGAGGGTTTTCTTTTTTTTTTTTTCCTTTTTTTTTTTTCTTTTTTTTGAACATCGGGGTTTTAGGTTTTTTGTAAACATGGGGGAGGGAGAGGAATGGCTACATGATGGCTTGCACGTCTCAGATACTATTTACCAGCTCAGTGGACCCTAAATGCGCACACTTGACATTATCCATGCGTTGACTTGGACTCTGTTTTCTTTTTGTTTTCTTATTTTGGTGAAGAGCTAAATAAATAACATGAAGAGAAAATGTGAGAAGTTCTAAGAGCCCAGGGCCATTGATGATGGTGGTGGTGATGGGATTACGATTATGGCGCCAAGGGTATGAAAGCACCAGTCTACCTACCCCTCTAAGGCTCTGAGAAGGCGGCTAGTATTTCTGGTTTGTTTCTCTCATGTAGCAAATTGTAATTTTTCTCTATACTCATCATTCCAGATATGAAAAGTTCATTAAAAGATACTAGGGATGCCAATCCAGTTCTTTTTCCTTGAAGAGTACTTTTTAACTTTGAATATTTTACTTTAATTGTAAATTAGTGAAATGTAATCAGTTCCTCAAAAGTCCTGTTCATTGCTCACACTAAAGCATAAGGAGAATGTAGCTGACATTTTGAATTGGAACATGTAACTGACAGATTTTTAGAATAAAAATCCTAAAGACTACAAAACTGCTTTTGGAAAAAAAATACAACATGTTTCAAATTCGTTAAGATTTGTTTTCATAAAAGGCCAAAAATAATTTATTAAAAATATACACAGAAATACAATAAAAATATTTCCAGTCACCAATAAAACAGGTATTCATTAAGGGTACTGATAAAGTCACCGATCCCTCCTTAGCCATTTAGACTCACAAAAAATTTTTTATTAAAAGCAGTGTTTATAACAGCAGTGAGTAATATACTTTTCTTGGGAAAACATTTGTCAAATAACATTTTAAAATAATGTGATAATTTGCTTTTTATATTGAGGTTGACAATGATGCATATATATCTTATATGCAAAAAGTATTTCTCCTGAATGTATCTGTTGTTCTAAATTCTTTAATATGCACAGGCCATATTCACTTCTGAATAGTTTCATTTTCGTGCTCACTATTGTAGGAGCTAAATTGTATGTTTACAGTTATATTTAATATGTGCAGACAGAATATTGAAATAGATGGTCAAGTTACTCACAAATAATTTTGAACAGATTTCTTTAAACTGTTTCTCAACTTCACTTATCCTTCAAGAGAAGAAAATTTACCCACACAATACCATGTGAGAGCTCACACGTAACAGTGCGGAGCCCGAATTTGCATATTTTTAAGTATTGCTGTATGGGAAGGGAGTAAAATGGGACAGAAGATCAGTACCAGGAATAAAAGTCAGTCATCTAGAGAGGAAGAAATAATACTTTTATTCAACTTTTTCATCTGCCTTTGTTTTTATAAAGAACTCTGGTTTGTAGATACAACGATAGGCCAAGAGCTGAGGAAGAACTCCATATGCTATGTTTAATGCTAGAAAGAGGCTTTTCGCTTCTTCAGGGACTCTGTAGACATAAGCGGTTCTAGCATGAAGAGAAGCACCGATGTGAGAAAACTGAGCCTGTTGCATTTAAAAAAAAGGGGGGGAGGTCAGCATGAGCTCTGTGTTCAGTCGGATTCACAACGTGTTCTGGACGATTCATTCAGACCATGTTTCCTGTGCCCTCAAAACCAGTACTTTCAAACAATCCACAGTCTTCAGGATTTCACCGAATTCAGGACCAGTCTTAATGTAACGACTCAAAGTATACCTTCCTTAGCTTGGCTTTATCATGCCATGCAGTGCCCCTTACCCAACATTAGTGGCTCAATTTAAAAGAAAAACTGAACAAAATCTCCGTTTTGTTTTTTGTTTTTTTTCCCCCTGATTTGCATTCTGGAGATCCTAAACACTCAGGCACTCAGTTGTGGCTTACTAAGTGTGTTCGGCAAAAATGAAGGAAGTACAGAGCTTAGAAAGCAAAAATATTTTTATATAGCCATTTAAAGAGCAGCAATGGGGACCTCAGCTTCATTAATCAGTCTTTTCACCTATTCCTTGGAACAAGAGCCCAAAGCCCTTCATTACATGTTTTCTGTTTACTTCTTCACGTTTTTGTTGCTTATGCAACTTTAAAAACTACTAAGGGTTGTTTCGTCGGTAAGGTTGTTACCAACGTGGGTGAGGGTAGGCTTATGGTTGCTCTTCATAAAATGGCATGTGTACATGCAGGCGACCTCTTCATACCAAGTTCTCCTTTATTTAGTACAGCTTGTCACCATAACCTGAGACCAGTTTCCCATTTGTACTTAAGTACTTGTTCATAACATACATTCAGAATGTATCTTGTTTGATACTTTTCATAAGCACAGGGAAAAACTGTATTAGAAAAGGCTTCTGTGTGAGGATTTCCTCAGTATTCTCATTCATGTCCTTACAGAACAACCCTGCAGTGTGTGTTTTCATATCTTACTGAAATCCACGCTGTACGTGAATAAAGGACTGGAAATCTAAATATAAGAAGTGATGAATTATTAGTTCATCAGGATCAAAGTGGAAAGAAGTCACAGAATCCAAGAATGAAAAACTAAATAATTCGCTTTAAATACATACAAGCTATCTTACATTTCCTTCCGTATGAAACCAGTTTATTCTGCGAAGTGGTTAACAGACAAAATTCGGCTTTTCCATGACAAATAAAGGATGAGCTTTCACAAGTGGCACTTGTATGGATTTGTGTCCATTGCAGGTATTTTAACAGATTGCTGCTACGTCCTGGGACCTCTGGTACAGTCTCGCTACTCTCTGGAGATAAGCGGTCAGTGTGATGTGTCGCGAGGACCACAGAAATAGCCTGTGTACGCCCTCCGCCTCGTGCTCCACGAGGCTCGGCAAGGGCTCTGCCCTCAAGCACGCGTCCCCCAGACCAGGTGCCGAGCAGAGCCCAGCAGATGGGAAGCGTCCCATCTCTGGGCTCTGAAGACAAGACCTGGAGAGTCCGGGGCCTTCGAGAGGCTGCCCGGGGGGCTGCTCTTGTACAGTCCTGGGAACACGGAGCAGGAGCGTGGCCCCTGTCGTTAACCCTACTTTTCCCTAGAGCCTCTTCTGAACAGCAGTGATTTTCTGAATTAATATAACCAAACTTCTGGACTAGGGGCCAGGTTTGAACCTTGATTTTCAAAAATGTGGGTTTGGTGTCTCTATAGACACATGTACTACGTCACAAAAGTCACCACGTTCGGGGAAGTGCCGACCGTTCTTTGAGAGACTGAGTGATACGAGCAGTCGTACCTACTTGCACAGGGGAACCTGCACCAAGTCAGTGATTCCGTAGGCTCTCTTCCTGCACTGACCAGTGCAGTTAATACCTCATTTTCAAAATCAGCAAAAATCATTGGCAGCATTCCAAAATGGTCATGTCCTTAGAGTAGACTGTAAGCCCACCGGGCAGGTACTGTGTCTAATGTTTTGTGTGGCGCCTCTCGCATTGTTAGAGCTCAATAAACGTTAATCAATAATGGTCTTGTGACTGTCAAAATACAAACAGTTTCCGCAAAGCATTTCTCTATTTTTATACCTATTTCCGTAGGCCTCCTTTCTCCAGAATCCTCTAACGAGGGCCCGAGCCCAGAGCCCAGTGTCGTGCAGTTTCTAATGGGTGTGTTGCTGGTGGCCACGCCTTCCCGCTGAGTGAGCACCCAGCCACAGCTTCCTCCCCACGCACACGGTGTCCAGTGCCCGGCTTCTGAAGTTTCAGAGAAACCTCAGCCTCCCCTGAGGACAGTTTCCTTCCTAAGCACGGGGCTGCTAAGGGCCTGCACGGTGTCTCGTGGGTCCTGTTCCCGCCGGCACACAAGGCCTCCTGACGGCAGGACTCAGAGCTCAGCCGGGCACCTGGTGCTGGGTTGGTGGCTCAGTTGGCCTGGGGCTGCTGAACCGACTGTCACCCAGGGTGACAGGTGCAACCTGTAGAGCCCAGAAATGTCTGCAGAATTGAGTGATGTGAGGTGGAGTCTCTCATCATCTTTCTTATTCTAAATCTGTTTTCACCTCCAACGAATTTAAAGCTTTGACTTTTTTTTTTAAAGAAATGGATGATTGGGATGGAAAATGAGGCAATAAAGGCAAAGAACGGTTACATTTTAATAGCTCTCTTTTCTTATATTTATAGAGACAGCCTGGAAAGGATGACTAAAAAATCACAATCTCGGTTCCAGAAGGAAGAGCTGAAAGTATTATGTGTCCACCTGAGTATCACAGGCCAAAACTAATGTGAACATTGGGGCAACAGCCAGGCTATTTGGCCGATACAGCAGAAGTAGCTAATCCAGAACTGTGTTATTTTTTAGGGTTTTCTGAGCAGCACAGTCCAGTGGTTAAGAATTCTGAATCTGGAACCATACAGAGTGCCCAGTCCCAGCTGTACCACAAGCCAGCAGTATGACCCTGGGTTAGGTATGTAACCTCTCTGGCTTCCTCATCTGTAAAAGTAGGATAATAAGGGCACATTGCTGTGCCGGTGCAATGAGTTGATCTTTGTGAAGTGCTTAGGAGAGTGGCAGGTGAATTCCCTGCCCATGACCTGGGATTCTGCTTGGCTGAGAACTCAGGTGGGCTCTTCGTTTTCAGATCCCCTTGCTGACCTTCTGACAATTTTAAGACTGTCTCCACCAAAGGATAATCATGTGAAGACTTTAAACCCAAAGTCTAACCTCGATACTAATTAAAGGTGTATCGTGATGAATTACACTGGAAGCAAATTATTAAATAGGACTTGCATTAGTATCCCAGCTATCCACATGCTTCCTAAATCTTTTAGATATTTCCTAAAGGTTTCCATGGGGGGGGGGGGGGGGACAAAATTCACCTCCAGCAGAGTCAACTCTACAAACCATATTATCCACAGATAAGCTTCCAGACCCTCGTGTGAGGAGGTCCGTGGCACCCGCATGGCCAGGGAGTCTGCGCAACAAGCGGGAAGGGCCTGGCTGAAGCAGGGCTGTTGTGTTTCCATGGGTGTTGCTGGGTGCGTGACAGGCTCCCAGCCAGGCCTGCCGTGAGTCTGTCCCAGGGCTTCCTCCCAGCATCCTTGATGCTTAGGTAATAATGTCCACACATTACCGTTTAGGTACTAACATCCACAGATGGCCACAGATTAATGAATGAATCTTCTGAGCAGCACAAGGCATTTCTAGACTCCTACTGGGAATCTTCTACCAATAAGAGGAGGAGCACCAAAATCTGCAGCTCATTCTGTGCCAGGCACCGTTCTAAGCCTCTTACATGTATTATTACCTCACGTGATCCTCAGCAGCTCTATGACAAAGGTCCTGTATAATCCTAACTTTACAGAAGAGGAAACCGAGGTAGCCAAGGTCACGAGCCCATCAGTGACAGTCTGAGCAACGAGCCAGTCTGTCTCCAGAGCTCATGCTCTTAACCATCTTGACTATATTGGCTCTGATTGTTTTCTTTTAATTTCCAGTGATATTTTAGCAGAGAACAATTGTTCAGTTGCTAGAAAGTACTAATATATAAGTGGGTCTGAGCAGCCTATTTCAAACTAGATTTGCAACTTTAATCCTACGTAAGAATTTTATATGAAGAGACACTTGGGTTCTGAATAAGTCCGCACTGGAACTCTTTGGTGTAAAAAATGTGTCGTGGTTTGATTTGATTTTGTTTTCTTTTACTTTCTGATGGATATTTCAATTTCTGAAGGCAGGAGATTTGGCAGATTCCTCCATGATCTGAAGGCAGGGGCTCAATAACTAACATGTTTTTCACTGACTTGTACTGACCTAGGAATTTTTCAAAGATTTGTTTTCCTTATTAAATCACATAGACTCCTGGGAGTTCACTAGGCCTTTCAAGAAATGCAGGTTTTGATCAAGTTAGGGGGTTGGGAATGCACAAAACCCCTAAATGAGGAATAGTCGTTTTAGCAAGCTAGGGATGTTAGTCGGGGTTATGGAGGGTGTTTTCTGTGATGAATGTGTCACCCTCCCAAGGCGAGAATTCATTTCATGAGCAAGTATTGGCTAGGTAGGAAACAAATCACGTAACAAATTCAGCATTCTCATCGCGTGCACTGTTGTGTTATGATTTGTAACTGTTCCTTAGGCTGAGCTCTCTGAATATGTAAATACTAAAGCCAAGCCAAGAGTCATGGAAATGTCAGACACAACAGTTCTCGGATGACAGCATTCTACTGGGTTGGGAGAAACATCCTTCTGACATTGACAGGATCTAGTCTGTAGCCTCCAGCTGCCTTGTCCAAGTGGGCAGTGACGGATGAGCCCAAGGGCTCCCGCGAGGCCTGGGGGTCTGGCTGAAGCTGCTGACTGCGGCCTGGGGCTCTGCCACCCACACTGCCCTTCCCAGAACCACCCGGCTGGAGTCGCGGGTGCCTGTCTGCAAGCTTAGCCCTCCCCAGCAGGTACAACCCAGGGTTAGCCCTAGTGCCCCAGGTTCAAGCACCCACTTGCCCCCAAGGTATGACCTTCCCAAGCCTCTTGACTGCTGACTGCCCACGTGACTGGGCCTTGACCTACTTTTCCTGCCTCTTCCTCCACTTGTCTCCCGAGACTTGACTGGGTCCTACACCTGGCCTCCCTTTGTCAGCCTCCTAGATGATGACACCCTGTGTTCCTGCGGCGGGGGGCAGACCAAGCAAGGCACAGGACACACAGAGGAAATCCGATCGTGTCCAACCCTGAGCAAGCTGATGATCCTCGAAGAGAGGGGGCCGGTAAGAGTGAGCTGAGCGGGAGCCCTCTCCGGGAGAGCTCAGGAGAACGCAGCCAAGAAAACCCAGGCCAGGGCTCACTCTGCCCTCTGGCCTGCTGCACCCCTGCCCAGCCTGACAGCCCACAGAGCCCGCTCACGTGTGACCGCCTCCCACCCCCCCCACCCCCCCGAGGCTCTCCGGCGCCTCCGTGCCCATATGAAGTCTTGCCTTGTGCTCACTGCTTGAGCCATGCCACTACCATGGCTCGCTGCTTGCAGGAGAAGAGAGAGAACAGTAGAGAAGAAGATGGGCTTTGGGGTCAGACAGGATTCCGTGCCCCTATTCCCCTATTCTGCCTGCCGTTTAGTAACTGTGACCCAGGCGAGTAACAAGCTGTCCTCAGCCTCAGCTCTCTTAGCTTTTAAGAAATCTGCAGGGAGGATGCTGTGTGTTCACTGCACGGTTCCAGGGCACGGGCACACAGGAAGACCGCCTCTGTCTGCTTCCGTTGCAGCCGAGGTGGTGCCAGACCTGGCTGTGGAAACTCTCCCACATGATCATCTTTGCACAAGCAAGAAATAAAACTTTAGTGTGTTAAGCCACTGAGTATCTGCTACCCCGGCAGAGCGCACAGCCTGTCCCTACCCAAGTAGGTAAGTAGAGCACAGCCTGCTTTGCCTCACCCAAGTTAGAGGAGAGCTCAGACCAGTGCAGGGCAGTGGGCTGGAAGTCACTGGGGTTTGAGGGTTACTCTGGAGACAGGACCAATGACCTAGTGATGGGCTAGATGGTAGGGGTGAGGGAATGGGAAGGAGCTGCTGAAAGCGGGGGAGGATCTGTTTGCAGGCCGCAGTGGGGAGAGAGCGGGTGTAGGAGGGTCAGGAGTCCTGTTGCATTGAGACACTAACTCCGAGATAGCCGCGTGAAAACACGGAGTTTGGGATTAGGCATAGGAGTCTGGGGACAGCTGGAGCTAAAGACAGAAAATTGGAAGTCAGCTTATAGTATTGAAAGATATGGAAATAAAGACCTCTTCAGAGGTCTGCTAATAGGGTAAATCTTGGTTCTCTTCCCCCTTCAGTCCTCCAAGGAAAGAACAGGAACCCTTGCTCTGGATGCTGCATCAGCTTTTTTGATACTAATATTCTAATTCTGTAATTAAGAATTACCTCAGGGGTGTCTGGGTGGCTCAGTCAGTTAAGTGTCCAACTTCAGCTCAGGTCATGATCTCGCAGTTGATTCGTGGGTTTTAAGAAAAATTTTTTAAAGACCTCAGACTGGAAGGATTTAGCCCAAAGGATTAACCCATAAATGCCATAGCTGTTTTCCACCCTGTAAATTCTAAAGTGTTCTTCTGCCATCCCAGTTACTATAACCAGGAGCATAATTAGCCATACATGCTGACAGTTTCCAGATGAGCCTCATTCTTAGGCCAGCTTGAAAAGAGCAAGATGCAGAGAATGATTTTAAAAAGATGAATTCGTTTGTTATTGTTTTTATTTATAGTAAGGGGGGGGGAAGATAAAATCATTTAATAATTTTCTTCCTTGTTCCTAAGATCAGTTTGTTTTGCTAGTTATCTTGTAAAAATGTGCTTTGTATAATAATACAATTTCCTAGATAAAGTTATTCCAGTTCAATGAAATAAGCATTCACTCTAGGGCAGGGACTTGGCTAAGTCGCAAGAGGAAAGAATGGAACTTTCTCCAAACCCATTTCCCTAGTTCGGGATACCGTCCTGTAAGAGAATTCTGAAATCTTAACTTTAGATAGGCATCTTAAAGATAACAGCTCTCAAGTATTTTTGTTCAGAGCCTGGGGAAGGGTCCTGGAAGGCTGTGGTGGCACCTGCTGGGTATGTGACCTTGGACAAATCATGTAACCTCACTGGGCCTCAGTTTCCTCATCTGTATAACTGGATGGCACAGCAACCATCACATATCTAGTTACTGTGAGATTTAAATAAAATGCACGTGCAGAAACGTCTTCCAAAGAACCGTAAAACGAAAGGGGATGTGTCTAGTAACTATTTCCTACTCCTTAAACACCAAGCAGAGATGTTTTGCAGATACTCAACAATGACAGCCAAATCCCCAGCGAACTTTCTTAATAGAGCGTATTTTGGGTACCTGGGCTAGACCTCCAGCATGTATCAGTGTCACGTCAGGCATCCAGGAACATCCAGGAACCACTAAGCCGTAAAGCGCAATCACAAAGTAAGGGACAGAATAGAACAGGTATGCCAGCATCTGTATTGAACAGAGAAAGAACACCGTCAGCAAAGTAACAGTTAACCGCACACGACGAAAAGTACAAGAGATTGAACGTTTCTAATTCCCATCTCCTACGTGGATCCACATGCTCCCATTCTTCTTTGTTTTTCTTTTTAATGTTCATTTTTGAGAGGAAGAGAGAGAGCGGAGGAGGGGCAGAGAGAGGAGACACAGAATCCGAAGCAGGCTTCAGGCTCTGAGCTGTCAGCACAGAGCCCGATGAGGGGCTTGAACCCATGAACTGTGAGATCATGACCTGAACCCAAGTCGGATAGTTAACCAACTGAGCCACTCGGGTGCCCCCACATGTCCCCATTCTTCAAGAAAGAAAATTAACATTAGAAAAATCTGAGGCTTGGGGCGCCTGGGTGGCTCAGTCGGTTAAAGCATCCAACTTCAGCTCAGGTCAGGATCTCACAGTCCGTGAGTTTGAGCCCCACGTCAGGCTCTGTGCTGACAGCTCAGAGCCTGGAGCCTGCTTCAGATTCTGTGTCTCCCTCTCTCTCTGCCCTTCCCCTGCTCGTGTTCTGTCTCTCTCTGTCTCAAAAATAAATAAAAACATTAAAAAAATTTTTTTCTTTTAAAAAGAAAAAGAAAAATCTGAGGCTTCATAACTACTTGACCTGGATTTTAGGATAAGCAGCAGGATCCTTTAGATAGGGCTCTTGAAATTGTGTATAAAATCGGCAGAGCTCAGCTGGGCAATCCAAAGCAATCTGAGAAGAAAAACGAATTAATTATAAATTCATACTCACATCTGATTCTTATGGTTTGCTGATAAGGCTAAACGTTCCAAGTACAGCCACAAGCTGTTCAACAAAAACTGTGTGTTGTAGAAGGTCATCAGTAAAAGGGAACGAAAAGAAAGTCTACAGATCTACTCTGAGGACGTGAAGGAGAGTTAGGAGAGGAGCAGGAAATGGCTAATGCTCTGTTCTTGCTACCTTCTGAGGACTCGGCTTAAGGATCTAGACTTCAGCAGCCAAAGCACAGCTCACGCTGGATTACCAGTTTCACTTCCTGGAAATCACTAGCCCACTCTTAAGAAAAGCCCATTCGTGTTCATACCAAATTCATCTTACTGTGCTTTGCAATATTCTAAAAATAGCATCCTCCTCCCTCCAGCAAGTGCCTCAGAGTATATGGCCTTTAGGGGCAGTAAAGGATAAGGATTTAAAAGCAGAGTCCTGTGTGAAGCCACATCGTGTGTCCACTTTGAAAGGAAACACAGAACAAAGTGTCTCTGGCACATTACGGGGTCCCCTCTGAGTCACTGCCCTCATGCATCGCCCCTCCCGTCCGCAGCCATAAATGTTGTCCCACCTAGATCACATCCATGGACACAGACCAGTGGCAGAGTTGGTAAAAACGGACCCCAATTTAAAAGCCCGTCTGCCTAAGCCCCGCCCACCGAGTGTGCAAACACCCACATGCACACATTTTTCTCCTGTGTGAGAACAGCTGGGGCTCGTTTTGTTGTTCCTGTGTTTCTTTTAACCTTGGGAACGACAGCAAACTAACTAAAGAACAGTTTTGGGGGTGCCTGGCTGGCTCAGTCGGTAGAGTTTGTGACTGTTGATCTTGGGGTCGTGAGTTCACACCCCACATTGGGCATGGAGATTACTGCAGAAAAAAACCAAAAGTTTAACTGCTCTGTGGTCTGAGTAAAGCCTTGCTTCTTTGCATTTCTTCCCTGGGCCACTCCTCCCGTCAGCCAATGCTACTGCAGGAAATGTCTGCCCTCCTGATAGAGACAGCTCTTAAGACAGCCTCGCGCGCTGATCCAGCCAGCAGCACAGGACCCCAAGACAGTCAATCAGCTACAGCAGCTCACACTTGGCTCCCCAACTGTTGTGCAATGCCAGCAGCCTTAGGACAGTAACTGCCACTGACGATGCGTATAATTATCCGTATCATTCCGGCCACTTTTATTTCTTTCTGCTAAAAACAAATCACGAAACTAGGGCATCACCAAGGATCATCTATTGATAAAAAGAGTAACACCAACCGTTTCCTGAACACTTACCACGTATAGGGCCCTCTGTACGTGTTTTGATGTCTATTATCTTATTTAATCTTCAACCCAATACCATTAGGTAGGTATTGTTATTTTATAGCGAAAGGAACTGAGGTCAAGGACCCTAAGTCATTTTCTGAAGGCCATACAGCAGGTAAATAGCCAAGATTCTAACTCCTTCTAGGGACCTTCCTCAATCCCTGAGAACACAGCCTTACCGGACTCTTCAGGTATCACCCTTCCCAAAGACATTTACATCAGAATCAGAAACATTCAAACCAAAAGAATGAAACTCTAATGGCTAATTTTTCAGGCACCCTAAAACGGGGGAAGAGACCCCTGGGTGGGGCTTAATCCAGGGACCCGAAGGAGGTGGCGTCCAGGGACCAGGCAGGGGCCACCCTGGAGGGAGGAAGGCCTGGGGGTGACCCCCACAGGTGGGAGTGGCAGCAAGCAGGGTCAGGCCTCCAGGCTCTAGAAAGTCTGATTAAATATGTATTTCTCTCTTTTTTTTTTTTAATGTTACTTTGATCTGTTACACTTACCAAGCCTCTGAACAGACAGAATCCAGTTGCCAGGAGGAGACACACGACCAGCATTAAATCAAATGGTCTTCTCAGCAGGTCCTTTGCTTGCACTTCTTGAACGACCTAAAATAGAGTTTGTAACCCATGAGCAGGCCCAAAGCGCCAAGAAAGAGTCTGAGGTCTACTGAAGCAGGAGGGCTGAGATGCTGGACAGGGAGGGATTCATATCCTAAACCACTAGGCACGTAAGTTAGGAAAATCATGTTCCTCCTCTCAGCTTCCAGATTACTCATCTGTGAAATGAGGAGATTGGGCCAGGTCACCTTGAAGTTTCCTTCTAACTCTAGGAGTCCTTAAAGTTTTCTTGAGATAGCAGTTTTGTGATTATCATTATATGAGATACGGTCATTTTAAAAGTAAGGTAAACCATAAACCCATCACACTATATACGTATACATATATGTCAATTTATGTATATATACACATATATATATATACATACACCGCATTTATATTTTACAAAATTATGACTTTACGTATAAATAATTTGACATAATTTGAGTGTTCTTTTGACATTCAACATCTACCTATATTATGAGCACTTTGCCACATTATTAAAAACTCTCCTAAAACTTTTAAAATCATGTGGAAACAACATATTGTAGCCATTCTCTCACGGGTGGATATTTATGCGTTTTCACCGTTAATGTGACGTTGAACAATTCTGTACATAAGTCTTAGCATCTCTCTGATGATTTTCTGAGGGTAGGGCCTTAGACGCGGAATTTAAGGGGTTAAATATTTCAAGGCTGATAAACACTGCCAAATTGCTCTGCAGAGCGATTCTGAATTTATTCCTATCAGCACTGTGTGACCGTGTCCATTTCTCCCTGGCCACCACTGTGTTTTAACATTTAAAAAATGATCATGAACAGTTGTATGTGTCTTATGACATGAACACTCCATTGAGGCACTGACATGGAGACTTTAAAAGCAGCAGAGCCCAAGGCTATGGTTACTGCTTGCTTTTTCTTTTTGGCTACCCCCTGGTTCCTCAAAAGGATGTAAGGGAACAGAAGCCAGCAGTGCCCCAACAGGTGTCTACTTGTTTACAAATGAAGTGTTTGCAAATTACAATGGATGTTAATGAATTCTTACAGTAAATGTAAATCTTACAGTAAAATGAGTATGAGTAATCACGGTCTGATTATCTCTGGTAATTCATATTTTCATATACCATTTTGCTTAAAGAATCTTGCCTGAGGATTTAATACCTATAAAAAGGAAGAGAAACTTAGAAAGACGTTACTACCTTGGAAATGAAGACCTTAACAGAGTACCCCCCCGCCCCCAGCCAGTACTGTTTCACTTCAACCACCTTGGCTGTGAATGGGAGGGGTCTCAGAAGACGTCCTGGAGCCAGTCTCCACGTGCCTGGATCTCTTGGTAAATCACACCCTGTGGCTGTGTGTGCTACCTTGAATAGCAGCATCTCTCCAGCCTCCCCTTGGGACAGTACATGCACTGGCATCTCTGAAAGAGGGGCCCGGATGCTCAAATGCTAGGCCATAAACAGCCTCAGACAAACCACACACGCCATGCACTAATGCAGAATCTGATGGGAACAGCCGGTATGGACCAACAGCACGGCCTGGCCCACTGAAGCAGATGTCTGAAGCAGACAGAAACACCCTCCCTTGCCACTGTAACTAAGGCGTGACCAATGCACAGAATCGACACAGTCAAACCAGCTGCCCCAGATGCTCCCGTCCACGGAGGCGTGGTTCAGTGCAATCACCAGATGTGAGTGAGCCCTGTGCGCTTGGGAACAGGTTACAGTTAACGTAATAAAATCACCTTTGAGGGATAATTATAATTTTCTGACGGCTGATTATAGATTCTGAAACCAGCCCAGACAGGAAGACATGTGTATGGTATGCTTAAGAAGAAAGCAGGGCAAATGCGTGTTCCATACTTCCCTATTTAAAAGAAAGAAAGAAAAAGTCAAAAGTTTGCCACAAGCACGTGTAAACACAAGCAACATTTAGGATACCGCCCCACCTCAAGCCGTCTAAAATTGTGCTGGGGACCAGGTAATATTCTTAAATGAGACACACACAAAAAAAAACAAACAAAAAAACAGGTCAAATTAAAACTATCAGGTGCTTTTTAAGAGGCACATTCTATCCACTGTATTTTTAAAGTATATTTAATATAATGCCCTGATTTCTTGCGCATGTAAATTACCTTTTACATTAGCTTTTGAGAGCCTGCATTTTTAAATGTATTTATCGAATGTATCGAGTTACATATAATACACAAAGCTGTAGGAAGCATTTGCACACTGCCTATAGTCGCAAACACAATACTCACCCCCTCTAGATCCTATATGTCAGAAAGCCCTGATACAACATTGTCTAATTGTTCAGTGTCTACTTCCAAAAATTGCTCAAAAGCCATTTCTTAAAAAGTTAGATTAAGGAGGGGAAAAGGAAGAATTCTGCCAAACAGCGTTGTGATAAGCTTGGAATTTCTTGACTCTGTTACAACCAAGATACCTCCTCTATTTAAGAACACTCCCCATTGTTTCAGAAAAAGGAAAGTGAATTTTAAGATAAAGTTTCTTACCCACAATGTTTCCTGGCACAAAAACAACAATGCTCATGATAATAGATCCAACCCAGTAGAGGCCAATGGTTCTATAGCTTTCCCTGTAATGAAAAAATCTTGGCTTAGTGCACTTGTCTTAGAACACCCATTAGCAAAAGATGATCCATATTATTAGCGGTATCCTAACTAGTAAAGTCTATGAACCGAAACTTACTGAATCGATAGTTAAAAACCAACCCTCGGGGACCCTGGTGATCAAACTTCATTTCCACCTGTGATCTATACCATAGAACCCTCTTTGTGTCCTTTTGAATAGGAATTTCGCTTGCAACACTGGTCGTCTGTTAATCTACAGCACAATCACTGACTGTCAAAGGAAGTTTTGTAAGAAGTTCCCAGCAGGAAAGGAAAAAAAGAAAGTTCACAAAAAGAAAGGAAATGGACCCATATTTTAAATCACTGTAAGTATGAGTAATAGGATGGTAAGTGGACTTTTCATGGTGTCAGAATTTTGGCCAGAGCTCTAGAGACAAAGATAATATGTAACCCCTCCCCCGTGTTCAAAAGGAGCCACCAGACACCCCTGACCTTACCAGGCAGTGTGGACAAAAAGCTCTTTCAGCCGATAACCCTGACAGCCCACCTCCACAAGGGGCTATGAGGAATCAAAAGGAGATTATCTGAAGGGAAACAGGTGGCCGATACTGTGTTTTCTGCCTGCCCCACCTCCCAAGCCAAGTGCAGCAGATTCACAATGATTGGGATTGTCAGCAGGAGAATCTTCTTCCCCAGCAGGATGCTAACTGAGCCACAGAAACTCACCCACTCCCAGCAGCCTCCGAGCAGAGCCCAGGCATTCTCTGAAATACGTGACGTGGTCCCTGGAACTTGGGTACCTTTCATGATGAGAGAAGCCAGTGCCCAGAAAAGTCCAAAACTTAGCGGGAGCTGTCCCTGAGTTCATGACTGAGGCAGCAGGGGCATGGGGCAAGAATGCACCATTTTCTCTAACCTGGAGCCAAGGGGAGGCCCAGGAACCTAGCTGGGCTTGAAGAGATCCTACCCCAAAGGGTATGCGATCTAGATTACAGGGACCCCAATGGAAAGAAGCTGCGGGTGTACCACCAATGGCAGAGGAGTCCCACGCATTCAGCCAGAGAGAGCTCTGCTCGCTTGGATTTGCAACGCCCAGGTTCCTGTGGAAGGGTCTCCCGAGAGGCCACACGTGCTCCACGTGACAGACCTAGCATATCCTAACGGAGGGCATCAATCCCCAGAAAACTAAGTGTCACTTAAGACCCTGCCCCTCTTCCTTTAGCTCCACGTGTACGTACACACACATTCCCGGAGAGGCCAGCTGCACAGCGACTCGAGAAAGAACAAAACGAGAGGCCATACGCCCTGACCTCAGTGCAGACCCCCACGCCTCAGGGCCACACGGGAACCGGAGGTGGAGGAAAGACAGAGCTTCGAACCGAAATGAGATGGAAGTTTAAAACCAGAACGGACTGGGCTTTCACTCCAGCAAATGAGACGGTCCTTAGAACACAGTCAGTAACTTGAGCGGTCTGCCCAAGCTTGTCACCACGGCAGGGGACGATCCAGAGGGCCATGTTCAAAAGGCAGCGATGCCAAGAAAACAAAGCCACGTCTAACCTGTGTCCAAGGAGCATATGTTCATGTCCGTGTATGCCTGTCTGTGTATTTGCCCCCACATCTGTGTTTTCCTTCCGTACCCGCGTACCGGTTGCTAAGGCAAAGGCACACACAGCAGACGGACCGACTTACTCCCATGCTATGGCTGCCACCATCACCAGATACATCAAATAATGAGCAGAGCCATCCCAGTAGCAGATCATGTGCCCGTACGCCGTGTTCAGATACGGTTCACCCTAAGGAGAGATTAAGAAATGAGTCTACTTTACATACGACTCGGACATCTCCACACAGAACTCCAGACCTGTGTTTCAAGTCAAATGAAACAGCAGAACCAGCTTGTGTCTGTCTGCTAACTTGAAACTATGCAGAATCCTGTACGATTACAAATTGGTAGGCACATGAAAACACAGCTTTACCCTGGAGCCCCCAAAACTGGAGCCTGCTGCGGGATGGCCCTGAAGAATCCCCAGCCAGCGTCTGACCGGCTGGGCCAATGCCCATGGATGGCGATACAAGACAGACAGCCTCATGGACAATCCGCTAACGCACTGAGGCCAAGTCAAAAATGAGACTCAGGGCGCTTAGCTCTGGCCAGAGGACGGTGGCCAGAGGAGACCCTGCTCACCAGAGCCACCGGCCGACCTTCCCGATTCACCTACGTGCTCATCCCCAGGCTTGCATGAGTGAGGACGAGGAAGGCACTCGGACACATGGACAGACAGACGGGCACCCAACCGCCCTATGGGAGAGACCACGATTGACTCCATTTTACAGATGAAACAGCGCCAAGGGGTTGTGAGACCAGCCTAAGGTCACACAGTTGACATCTAGCACAGAGCATACTGTCAAGAAAAGCCATACTTCTCCTGAGGATTTTTTCATTTTATAGCCATGAGATCCCATGACGAGCGACATGTCGTGCTCCCAGAGGGCTACCACAAGATCACTGTCCGATTTGCATGGGTTTTTCGTTTCCTTCTGAGTCTCGTGTTCCTTTCTTCTCTCTCCCACGTCCATGCCATCCTGCCTTGTTTCTGGCCTGTCTTCCTAAGATGCCCTCAGTCCTTTCTGCGGCCAGAACAGTCAGATCAGCCAGCCAGGAGGGGCCCCTCCGAAGCGTGGTGTGCCCGGGGCAGGGCCTGCCCGGTCCTCTCTCCCCGCAAGCGAGATGGAATGAGAACTAGCGAGGAGGCAGAAATAACACAGCAGCTGGACTTCTGTGCCCACGCCTGACGCACATCTTTTCTCCCTGACATGCTTCGACTGAACAATCCAATCTGATTTCATGACTTTAATTGTTCATGCCTACACATCGGGCTCTCGGAGCCGGTGCTGGCTCCCCTGGTGGCTTCATGGACACTTTTTTTTCTTAATTAAAAAAAATTTTTTTTAAGGTTTATTCGTTTTACAGAGACAGAACACGAGGGGAGGAGGGGCAAAGAGAGAGGGAGACACAGAATCCGAAGCAGGCTCCAGGCTCCCAGCTGTCAGCACAGAGCCTGACACGGGGCTCGAACCCACAAACCGTGAGATCATGACCTCAGCTGAAGTCAGAGGCTTAACCGACTGAGCCCCCAGGTGCCCCAGGACATTTGTAACTAGATGCCCCACGGGCCCTTCAGAGTTTTCACGCATCAGCTTCTGCCCTCAATTGAGCCTCAGCTGGCTTCTCTTTTTTTTCTTTAAGTTTATTTATTTTGAGAGACACAGAGAGAGCGAGCCAGCAGGGGGTGGGGCAGAGAGAGAGAGAGAATCCCAAGCATGCTCCTCACTGTCGGCACAGAGCCCGACGCAGGGCTCGATCTCACAAACTGTGAGATATGATCTGAGCGGAGATCAAGAGGCTGATGCTCAATTGAGCGCCCATCCCCCTCCCCCTCCCTGCCCCCACCCCCATCCCTGTGCCCCCGAGGCCTCTATCTTAAGGATGACACCACCCTGTCTGCCCAGCTCAAAGCCGCGGGGTCCTGTTTCCACCCCTCTCTCTCCTATGCAGTGTGTGGGCACGTCCTTTCATTTCTGTTTATGAGGTCACCACGGGCCACCCTCCCTCCGGTTCAAACCCTCCCTGCCCCTCACTCAGCCATTCCCAAACGGTCCCTCTAGCTGCCTGCTCTCCTTCCAATCCACCTGCCAAATGAAGAGTCATTAGCTCTTAACACATTGCTCTTCTGTTCCAAAGCCTTCCAGAGCAAGCTTCCGCCTGCGGGACCAGGCCCGCCTCCTGTATCTGGCAGCCGGGTGCCCAGAACCTGGCCCTGCCCACCTTCCCACAGTGACACCGGCCCACCTTCTCACACCCCGTCTGCCTCAGGGCTCACCACCCTCAGCAGCTCGACCTCCGGGCCCTCTCAGCAGCCACTTTCTCCCCAAAACCTGCCCCCTCTGGACCCAGTGGCCCCAGGCTCCCCAGGCTTCCCTTCGGCATCTCGGCCTGTCCCTTTGCAGTTTGCTTCAGGGGGGCTCTTCTGGCCACGGCCTCCCATATTCTACCCTCCGGCATCTCCTCTCTCCCCACTTCTTCCGAGCAGGCTCCCACTGAGATGGCCCCCAAATCTCTCCGCCAGGAATGTTCCTCAGCGCTCAAGCCCTGCCAACCAGAACATCTGCCGGATGTCTCTCAACCACCCAAAACTCCACACGTCCCCAGATGAACTCAGCATCATCCCTGCAAACCTGCACCCCAGGCTGACTGTGGGGAGACACCTGCTGTTTCTCACCTCCAAGCTTTCGCTCAAGCTGTCCCTTCCCCTCGGAATGCCCTCCACCCCCGCCCCACCCCAGTCCATCTGGAAAATGTTTATCATCCACTGTCATTGCCATTTAAAAAAATGCTAGGGGCTCCTGGGTGGCTCAGTCAATTAAGCGTCTGACTTAGGCTCATGATCTCACAGTCCATGGGTTCGGGCCCCCCATTGGGCTCTGTGCTGAGATCAGAGCCCGGAGCCTGCTTCAGATCCTGTGTCTCCCTCTCTCTCTGCCCCTCCTGCTGCTCATGCTTGGTCTCTCAAAAATAAACATTAAAATTTTTTTTTAAAAAATGCTAGAGCAGTATCACAAATTCGATGGGGACTCCCCTGACTGCTTCCGGACTTAGTTCTTCCTCTGTGCACAGGTAACACCTTGTTCTACTGCCTTTTGCTTCATTGTGCATCGCAGACACTGAGTTGTTGGTCTTGTGTTTTTTGTTTTTTGTTTTTTTACGAATTAAAGCTCTGTGGCCACCCTCCATCAGGCAAGTCTCATGGGGCCATTTTTCCAACCGCATTTGCTCACTTTGTGTCTCTGTGTCACATTTTAGTAATTCCGGCAATATTTCAAACTTTGTCATTCCTGGCAGAGTTGCTACGGTGATCTGTGACCGGTGATCTTTGCTGTTACTATTGTGACTGTTCTGAGGCCCCACGAACCACACCCACACAAGATGGTGAACTTAGCAACTGCTGGGTGTGTTTGACTGCTGCACCTCCCTGCACAGCATCTTCCTGTCCTCGGCAAACGTCACTGTCGTCTTATCCTAGGAAACGGCCACGGCCACCCCCACCTTCAGCGACCACCGCCCTGATCAGTCAGCAGCCACCAACATGGAGGCAAAGACCCTCCACCAGCAGATGACTCACCGAGACCTTCGACAGTGGTTGGCAGTTTTTGCAATAAAGCATTTTAATATTAAGGTATGTATGCTTTTTGGACCTAATGCTATTGCACACTTAACAGACTACAGTGTAGTGTAAACATAACTTTTTTCTAATGTTTATTTATTTATTTTTGGGAGACAGAGCGCAAGCAGGGGAGGGACAGAGAAGGAGACACAGAATCCGAAGCAGGCTCCGGGCTCCGAGCTGTCAGCACAGAGCCCGACGCGGGGCTGGAACCCACGAGCTGTGAGGTCGTGACCCGAGCTGAGGTCGGATGTTTATCTGACTGAGCCACCGGGCGCCCCATAAACATAACTTTCACATGCACTGGGAAACCAAAACATCCATGTGAGGTGCTCTGTCATGATACTTGCTTTAACGCAGCAGTCTGGGACCGAACCCGTGATATCTCATAGGTGTGCCCACACGGTGTGCCCAGTGTGTGCCTCCATCACTGCTCCTAGGACAGCTAGGACTTGTCTCCACTTGAGACAGCTCCTGGCGGGAGAAAGCAGGTCTCGTGACCCCACAGTCTACTCCGGCTACTGTCTTTAGAAGTAAATTCCTCCGGTTCGCCCCTCTGGGCTTAATAACACCTGCATACTTCCAAAAGCAGGAGGCAGGATGTCTTACTTTCCCATCACCCCCAACTCATCCTTGGGTCCCGCTCACTCCAAAGACTCCGGTTCTCTGAAGTTCGTCCCTCCTCCCTACCTCCTGTGCTTGGCCACCCGCCTGCCCTCACTGGCCCTGCAAAAGCCTCCCCTTCGAGCCCATCCTTCCTAGAGCTGACTGCATCGCTCCCTGGCTCAAAATCTTCCCTCGAGTGTGAGATAAAGTCCAAACCCCCTTAGCTTGCAGACGAAGCTCTCCATTATTTGAAACACAGACGAAGGCGAAACTTTGAGCTCTGCTCCTTCCTTATTTCCTGCGTGACCTTGAGCAAGTGACCTAAGCTCTCTGGGGCCGGATTCGTCCACCGTAACACAGGGAGGAGGATTAGGTGTCTCAAGTGCCGGGCAGCACTAGCACATGACGACGGGGAGGGAAGGATGGTCATCGCAATCAAGTGGCTTCCGTAAGTGCCGTGGTGGTCGCCACTTTCCACATGTAAGACCAGCCTGAGCTTTTGGCCGTAGTAATGGTTTCACAGTAACAGACACCAAACACTGAATTCACTTGGAGGATCTCATTCCTGGAAAAGGGGAGTGGAGTGGGTGTGAGGGAACAGGTGTACGGCCGAACTCTGGAGAGGAGTGCCCCCCGCTTTGCACGTGAGTAAACCCGCTGCGTCCGTGGCAGTGAGCGATGCCACGGACCGTGCCTGCTTACACCAAACGGAGGGATTTCGTCTCTGAGCCCCATGGCTGAGGCTGCTGACCGTCTGGCGTCAGGCTTACGGTTGCTAAGCGATGCCATACCTCTCTCAAGTAGTGCGTCACAAACCCGTCAATGATTCCGTCCTGTTCCAGTGCTATGATGAGGTTCACCACACTGGTAAATCCGAACACTGCATACACTAGAGCAAAGAAAGCGAGAGTTTCCTTTTTAATTAAAAAAAAATTTTTTTTAAGTAACCTCTACCCCCAACCTGGGGCTCAAACCCACAACCCTGAGATCAAGAGTCGCACGCTCCACTGACTGAGCCAGCCAGGTGCCCCGAGAAAGCAGTAGTTTAAAAAGCAGTAGGTCAGGAGGGGGCGCCTGGGTGGCTCAGTTAAGCATCTGACTCTTGATTTTGGCTCAGGTCACGATCTCATGGTTGTGGGTTCGAGCCCTGCATCCGGGCTCTCTGCTGACAGTGCAGAGCCTGCTTGGGGTTCTGTCTCTCCCTGGCTCTCTGACCATGCCCCGCCCCTAAAAAATAAATAAATAAACATTAAATTAAAAAAACAAAAAGCAGTAGGTCAGGAGACAATGACTAAGAGCTTGGCATTCACCAGTAACAGTGACTTGTTTTTAATGTGACTGTGGACACTCATCATGGGCTAACAGAAGGTCCCTCCTGCACACACATTGGTACCTTTGCCTGTGTCACTGCCCAAGTGCCCTGTCCAAGGAGACACCCGCCAGGGGGACAGAATGACAAACTCACCTGCTAACTGTCCCACAGGATTCTACCAGGCCCCCCCATCCGTCCTCCGCTCCCTACAAGTGGCTGCCCAGGACCCCATCTGCACAGAGGGAACAAAACCAGTAACCAGTGGCCAAGAATAGAGGTGACCACGAGGTGGGTATGTTTACAATAATGACTCAGGGGCACCTGGGTGGCTCAGTCAGTTAAGTGTCCGACTCCAGCTCAGGTCATGATCTCATGGTTCATGGGTTCGAGCCCCACATCGGGCTCTGCTGACAGCTCGGAGCCTGGGGTCTGCTTCAGATTCTGTGTCTCCCTCTCTCTCTCTCTCTCTCTCTCTCTCTCTCTGCCCTTCCGCTGCTTGTCTTCTGTCTCTTTCTCAAAAATAAATAAACATTGGAAAATAAAAAAAATAAAACAGAAGCCATGAAAAAGTAAGTGGGGAGGAGAGTGGCAGAGGTTAATTCACAGAGAGGGGAAGCTGGCCTTGCCGAGTCTGCAGCTGGGGCCACGGGGTTCACATTCTCACTGGGAGCGGAAGGCCCACGGCTGCCCTGCCGTGCACACCCTGCCTCCCTGTGCCTCCCAGGCCTGTGGTCCAGGCCTGGTAGTCTGGGATCAGCCATCAGTGATCAGTCACCATATGTCTCCCAGGAAAGGAAGCATTTAGCGTCTGATCACTGGACAGTTCCACCCTCGCTGAAGCTGACAGGAGCATCAGATGCTGGGTCACAGGTGGTAAGCACCCGCCCTGAGGCTTCCGTGTGCTCAAGGCTGTGACAGAGACAAAGAGAGAGGGCCGAGGGTGTGGGAGCAAGGGTGCTCAACCCTGGGGAGTCGGGACAGACACAAGTCAGCTAAGTATGGGCACCACAGAGTGGCGGGGGGCCGGCGGGGGGAAGATGGCAGCAGGAGACCTGTCTAGAAAGGTGGACCAGGGCCAGAGCAAAGGCAGGTAGTGTGGGGCAGGAGAAGATGTGGGCCTTGAACTGGGACAGGTCCAGCTAATCTACTGAATGGCTATCCAATCTTAGGCAAGTTGCATCATTTACCTAAACTTCACAGTTTTTCAAAAAAAATTTTTAATGTTTATTTTAGAGAGAGAGAAAGAAAGAGAGAGAGACAAAGTGCGAGTGGGGAAGGGGCAGAGAAAGAGTGAGACACAGAATCCAAAGCAGGCTCCAGGCTCCAAGCTGTCAGTGCAGAGCCCAACATGGGGCTCGAACTCACGAACCGTGAGATCATGACCTGAGCCGAAGTCGGATGCTTAACCGACTGAGCCACCCAGGCGCCCCCAACTTTAGGGTTTTTTATACGCAAGCTGGGAGAAATTAGTTACTCCCAATTCTTCTTTGCCTCCCCACCTTTGCCAAGATCCACTGCGGGCAGAGAATATGCCCCATGCCATTGGTGATAGACTCAGCCACATGACTTGCTGTGGCCAGTGGAACGTGTGGCCAGTGGAACTGACAATGGCCAACTCCAAGTCTCCTCTGCCAGGAGGAGGGCACACCTTGGGGAGCTACTGGTCCAAGAGCAAGGAGACACATGACACAGCCCTGAATCTGACCCACAGCCTGAAGCACAGCATTCTGGCCAACCCGTGAGGAAGGAAAATAGATGTTTATAGCCAAGACATGGAAACACCCTACGTGTCCATTGATGGATGAATGGATAAAGAAGATACACAGACACAATGGAATCTTGGCCATAAAAAAAAGAAGGAAATCCTGCCATTGGCAACAACATAAATGGATTTCGAGGGCATTGTCCTAAGTGAAGTAAGTTATCTGGAGAAAGACAAATACCGTATGACCTCACTTACATGCGGAATCTAGAAAAGCTGAGTTCTCAGAAACAGAGCTTGGAACGGTGGTTGCCGGGGCTGGTGAGTGGGGGAAACGGGAGGATGCCAGCCAAACAAACTTCCGGGGGTAAGACGAGTGAGTTTCGGTATCTGACTTGCCGCGTGGTGACCGTGGTCGACGACACCGCGCCGCATGCTTCATGTTCCCACCGCGCACCAGAGACGGGTGATTACGGGAGGTGAAGGACCTTACTGAAGGCAAGCGACCTGGTCGTGGTCACCGTCTCCCAGCGTATGCGCGCATCGCGTCATACGAGCCTCCGTCTCACACTCGCACAAGGTCACCTGTCAGTTGCATCTCAGCAAAGCGGGGGGAGTATGGAAAGTGCGTGCCGCTGCTACAGGGAGCTGGGGCCTGGGGGGTGTCTGACACGCAGCCTGGCTACAGCAGACACTGAATGAGTAAACGCCCAGCAAAGTTCCCGGCAGGGGAAGCGCTTGAAGGCGGTAACGGCTCGGGCCACAAAGGTCACGGGCTTTGGGGTCAATGCCGGTCTCAGGATGCGACCGTGACCTCGTTTCTCAGCTTCTTAATCTGTAACTGGAGGGTATTTGTTGTAAGCATTAAATAAAACACTCCTGGGGCACCTGGGTGGTTCAGTCGGTTGGATGTCCGACTTCAGCTCAGGTCATGATCTCGCGGTCCGTGGGTTCGAGCCCCACGTCAGGCTCTGGGCTGATGACTCCGAGCCTGGAGACCGTTTCAGATTCTGTGTCTCCCTCTCTCTGACCCTCCCCCGTTCATGCTCTGTCTCTCTCTGTCTCAAAAATGAATAAATGTTAAAAAAAAAATTTTTTTAATAAATAAATAAAACACTCCTGCTGCAGTGGCCACGACCAGGCACACTTTTTTTTTTTAACGTTTTATTTATTTTTGAGACAGAGAGAGAGACAGAGCATGAACGGGGGAGGGTCAGAGAGAGGGAGACACAGAATCTGAAACAGGCTTCAGGCTCTGAGCTGTCAGCACAGAGCCCGACGTGGGGCTCGAACTCCCGGACCGCAAGATCATGACCTGAGCCAAAGTCGGACGCTTAACTGACTGAGCCACCCAGGCGCCCCCAGGCACACTCTTAAGTGCTTAATCAGTGGTGTTTTTATTTATTTAATGCACGTGTGTATTTTTCAGGCACTGTTATAAGTATTTTACAAATATTGTTTAATGTTTGCACCGGCCCTCCGTGGTAAGTGCTGTTAGTTTCCTCATTATACAAACGTGCAGACCGAGCCACTGTACTTGGACAGCTAAGTTCCACACCAGGTGAAGCTGTTTGCCAGAGGGCCAGAGGTGCAGGAAGGAGAGTGGAGATCAGAGGTCAGAGGTCAGAGCACGGCTGGGGTTGGGGTGAGGAACAGAGGGGCATCCTGCCTGGCTGTCCCTGGCAGTGACCTTCCGCCCTGATCTCAGCTGGGAAAGGGTGGGGTCCACAGCCCGGAGGAGGCGTTAGTTTGGAGGGGAGGAGGGAGGACTGTGTGGCCCTGAACTACTCCTACGCTTCCTACCACATTACCAGCGGGCTCAGGGCATTGGAGGCAGACTTCTTGTTCATAGAAGAAACATAATGCAGGCAAAAGTCAAGTGTTGTGCTGTTGAGTGGACCCCAACAGTTCCCGTCCCACGGGCCCGTGGACACGTACCATAGAACAGCGGGTCCCGGGGTGGTTTTCTTTTGACGAGGACACGAGCCAGCAGGGCTACCAGGAGCAGGATGAGGGCAGCAACCCCTACGATTGTCCAGGAACTGCAACAACCGGGACAGGGAGGTGGTCACTTATCGAAATAAATACATGAGTGTGTGGAATTTCCTGGCTGTTGATCGCGTTTGCTCCCACCTCTGCCTCTGCCTACAGCTCTAGTGCTGTGGGCTTCCTGACGTCTTTCTGCAGCACGTTGGCCCCTCCCCGGCCACCCATGTGACTTTCAGGGACTGGAGCTACCAGGTTCTCACTCGTCCCATGCTGCCCACCTGCATAGCACCCTCCCCCCTATCCGATCCCAGGCCCCCCCCCCCCCCGCAGATGGCCTCTGCCTACCCGCCTCCCCAAACCCTGCTCTCCGGGGACGGACGTGCCTAACCACCGAATCCCACCACCTCCCTCAGGGCCGGCCAGAAACCCTCAGACTGAGCTCCAGGGAGCCACGGGAGTCACAACTGCACAGACCTTTCAGGAGGACAAGGAAGGAGGGCCAGGTGGAAGTGTGTGGCCCGACCTGCGGCCAGAGTGAAGCCAGCTCCCTACACCCAAGGCCAGCAAGCCGGCGTCCACCCCACACCCGGGAGCTAAGGTGAGGCGAGGCTGGGCACAGGGAAAGGGCACGGCGCCGAGGACGCCAGAAGCCAAGCCGCCTTCCCCATGGGGCAGCACTAGGGCGTAAGGCTGGGCCCAGTCACCGGTCAAGGCCCCTGCACTCTGGCCCCTACGCAGCCACTGCCCAACTGTGCAGCTGTGCCAAAGCCATGCTGTGTCATCACCTGTTCATGAACTAATTTTAAACCTATTAAGGATAAAATGTATTATGCACCCCTATGTACCAGGCATGGTGGATGCATGGAGGAGGTCCCTGTCTCCACGGAGGGTCCCATCTGAATGAGCTCTGAGCTCTCTCGCCCAGGAGGTCACCTCTAGTCCTACACACAGATGCTCTCTCTCACCTCCAGCACCAACTGGGCTTGCAGTTATAGACAAAACTATTGCCTGGCCCTCTCTTATAGCCTGCTACACCAGCGCCCCCTCAACAGCCCTCGAGAGCTCCCACAGGCACCACTCCTCAGCTGAAATCCCTCCACACTACTCCAGCCCAACAGGAGAACTTCTGGGTAACCTTTGCCATTGCCCCTGAGACTTCTGGAAAGTACCTTTCTCAGTCACAGGCTCCACAACCCAATAAGACCTACCAGTAACTGAAGGACAAACTCCTGCTGAAGTTCGCTCCACACACCTGTAGCTGGCTGGAATGGGTGTTAGGCACCAGTCAGAAATCTGCCCCCAATGTAAGAGAGGTCAGTCGGGAAGTGGGAAGTGATCCATCCAACCTTCAGGTAGATGGGCCCCAAGGAGACTGGTTGCAGGGGCAGGAGAGCGGTATCCTCAGCACCTGGCCCCAGACCCCACAAAGAGTCAGGGAATGGACACTGGGCATCAGCATAGCCCAACCTTGACCTGCAGAATCTGAATACTTTGGAGTGGGGCATGAGAATATGCCACAAAGTCTGCCTGGGGACTTCTGCTAGGGTATACAAGAATTGATAGATAGATGAGGGAGGGAGAGAGGGGGAGAGTAAGCCAGGAAAGAGAAATAAATGGATGGATCGATGGATGGATGGGTGGATGGATGGATGGAAGGAAGATAGTGAATGAATGGACAGATGACAGATGATGGATGGATGGATGGATGGATGGATGAATGGATGGTGGATGGTGAATGAATGGGTGGATAGGTGGGTGGATGGATGGATGAATGGATGATGGATGGTGGATGATGGATGATGAATGAATGGGTGGATGGATGAATGGATGATGGATGGTGAATGAATGCGTGGATGGATGAATGGATGGTGGATGGCGTATGAATGGGTGGATGGGTGGATGGTCAGATGGATGGATTACAGATGGTGGATGGATGCATGGATGGCACACTTCTATGATAAGAATGAGGACGACTGTCAATGTCCAGGCAAGAAATTGAAATAGGAAGTTTCTAGGGGTGCCCATCAGTGGCTGTTCCAGGCTCCTCCTGTAGGGATGAGCAAAACGAAGAGAGGACAGAAGAGGAAGCTGATGTGGGTCAGGAACATGATACTGAACTGAAGCATCCCGTGAAGAGGGAAGAGGTTAGATGTGCTATATAAGCTGACAGGCATTTTAATCACAGCCTGAGTCAGGTGGTGGCCAGAAAGTAACCCCCATTCCTGCTCCTACCAAGGACCTATGCCTACAGCCGGCACGATCACGCAGCTGGTGCTCTTCTACAGTATGAGAGAGCTGTGTAAACTGGTTCACGTGTCCCCTCACACTCGCCACCTGGGGGAGGAGCAAAGCATGAAGAGAAACTGAGGCAGCAGATCCTGTGTGCATCCCAGTCGCAGCCCAGTGCAGAACCCAGCAGGGACTTAGGGGGAGAGGGAGATGAGGTAAGGGCTGAGACTCACCCCAGGGTGAAAAAGTTGCTAGTCATGGGTCTTGGAATGGGAGGCATTACAAGGTGTCCACAAAAGGACACCTACACAAAGGGGACATGTATGGGTGAGTATGAGCAGAGAGAGAAAGTGTGCATGCGTGTGTGTGTGTGTGTGTGTATGAGACAGAGAGAGACAGAGAGAGAGACATCCCAACTCTTCCCTGACTCCTTAACCTGACTTGCTTTTTCTGTTTTTCAGGCTTTCGTAAAAGGTTTGGTGGGAAGGAAGCTTCAACTAATCCAACTATTTCAAACCTAACTGAATGTCTGCTATGCACAAGGCCCTGTGCTGGGCAAGACAATACTCAGGTGAGCTATGTATGGTCTGGGAAGGTGAGTTTGGCCACAGGAAAGTAACTCTGGTGGGAAAAGTGCAATCCAAGGAGGCCGGGTGGAGGGAAAGATCACATCTACTGGGAGGGAGGGTTTGGAAAAGTTAGAGGAGGCATTTGGCATTTTACCCCAGGCCATAGAGTCCTGGTGCAGCTTCAAAAGTCAGGTCAGGGAGGAAGGCCTCCAGTCAGAGGGAACTGCATGAGGAAGGGCAAGGAAGCAGGAAGTTAAGGAGCATCCAAGGGCTGGGCCAGGGAAGCTCCAGCAGGCCAGTGCCCGGGGAACTGCAGGGAGGAAACAGATGTTAACCCAGCCCTGGGGTCACTGTGGCTGTGGAAGGGGACGGTGGCGGGGTGGGTGGTGGAGAAAGAAGAGAGAGGAGTCAGAGGCCACTGGAATTTTAACCTACAGGGGGAAGGGAAGAATGCCTAGAAGCAATTATTCAGAACTCTGCAGGGCTTAGCAGTGTGCACAATAATACACAGCAATACATAATTCAGTGTGTGCTCGGTAAATGCCATCGCCATCCTGCCAGTGGCTGAGGCCAAAATCTCAGAGTCATCCTCAAATCCTCTCCAGGACATGCAGTCTCTCAGTAAGCTGCCCCGCCTCCCTCCAGAATACCCCCACACCCAGCCACGTCCCCCCACCCCGCCGTGAAAGGCTCTGTCCCCACATCCTCCGGTGGCCACCTCCTGCAGCTCAAGTCTCCTCCTCCAGGAAACCCTCCTTGACCACCAGTCCCCTTCCCAGGCACTCGGGTTGCCCCATTTTACTTACTGATGTCTGTCTCAACACTCGTGTCCCCCACCTTTCCTGGCTTGTCTATAGCCATATCCCCAATTCTTGGAACAGAGTCGCGCGCAGCCTATGGACTCAATAAATGTTTGCTGAACTGCGCATAATGCCATTGGAGGAACGCAGGGTCCCCCGTGCACTGTATTGACAGACTCGTGACATTCGCTGCCCAGAGCTGCTGCTTGCAGGAGTTGCACCCCAAGACTGGGTCAGACCAAGGGCAGTCGATGCCGGTGCCTGCGGAGTGCTCAGTATGGGTGGGTGAGGCTTTCAGCAAGTGGTGGCCCCAGGAGAGGGGCAGAGGCAGAGACAGAGACACAGAAGGGGAGAAGGAGGTCACCGCCCTGTGGGCAGACACTTATCCGCAGCCTGAAGGTCTGGAGGGGGGTTGCAGCTACAGACTGATGCAATTTCCTTAGCACCAACTGCTGTGGGAAACATAACAGGTTAACTTCCTCGTCCCCACACACAGCGGGGGGACATCAGCAGGCACAGAGGCCTGGCACCGGTCCCACTGCCCGGCTGGGCCCGCAGCTGCCCGGTGCACAGTTGCTCAGCCAGGGACCCCTCGCACGAGCCCGAGGCCGGCTTTGGGCTCCACCCATTTCCTTAGCCTCCAACGGCCCTGCCTCTCGCCCCTGAGCTGTCTGTCCTGCACAGCGCCTCTTCGCGAACAGGTCTCTTCGGATCCTGACAACAGGGATACAAAGAGAGGCCATTTGACAGACCGGAAAACTGAGGCC